GGTTAACATTTATACTTGTTTGTATTTCAAGTCCAAATTTGACTTGTACATTCCCATATATCGCTTCTGAATAAGAGGATGTATAGTACTAATATAAGGAAGGGGCCATTGACTTCTCAGAGAATTGGCCAATGAAAACTTTATAAAAAACTTGTTGTTAGTTACCATAGAGTAAATTCTGACTCGTGTCAACCCCAAGTATGCAGAACAGAACTGTCTCCTAGGGTTTTCAGAGCTGTGACCTTTAGAAAAACAGATCCCCGGGCTGTCTTCTCAGATATCCCTAGGATTCAAACCATCCACCTTTCAGCTAGCAGTTGAAGTAAATAAATATAAATGCTCTAAATATACAAATTGAAAAAGGTTAAGACTAAGAAAAAATGAGCTAACTATACACTGTCTACAAGAAATACATTTTATAGATTAACAACATATGTAGGTTGAAAGTAAAAGAATGGAGAAAGTTATAACACGCACACATTAATTTTTTTAAAAAAAGCAGAAATGACTTAATATTTGACAAAGGACACTTCAAAGCAAAAATAAAACAATTACTAGGGAAAAAAATATGATAAAAGGATCAATCCATCCTAAATGCATCTGCACCAAACAACAGAGCTTCAAAACATATGAAGCAAAAACTGATAGAGCTAAAGGGAGAAATAGAGAAACCTACAATAGTAATTGTAGACTTCAACATCCCACACTCAACAATTGATAGAACAACTAGACAGAAAATCAGCAAGAATATAGAACTGAGTATCATCAAACAATAGGATCTAATTGACTTTTATATAACATTCCATCCAACAACAGCTTAATACATATTGTTTTCAGGTCCCCATTGGGGATATTTCTCAATTGTACTACTTGTCGCAGGTTGGCAGAAGGGACTCTGTTCGTGGTAGTCATTCAGGGACTCAGGCTGTAAGCTTCATCATACTGACTGCTTCCCATGATCACTGCCCTAAGAGAAGGACACATCTGATCTAAAAGCTTCTGTCTGGAAGTCAATACACTCACTTGTCTTCATATTTCAATTGCCATAGGAAGTTATATTACTTCAAAGGAGACAGGGAAGAGCAACTCCCTCTGTGTCCAGCAGGAGAACTGAAGTTTTGTGAACACCTCAATTGACTCCCACAGCAACAGAACCAGAGTTGAACCAGAATTGTCTGACTCCAAATTCTGTATCTGTTAATTGCTATGCCGAATATTTAGAAGATGCTGGGTGATCTGCTAACATTCATCTTTTGGGGTGTTAGCTGCCTATCTTCTGTTATTTTATACCAATATCATAAGAACATGAAATATTCTGATGATAGCAAAAAAAAAGTCAGCTAGATAGTAATATGAGGAAGATAATGATTTTAAGAACCACTGTTTATTTTATGACAGCTGTTATGCTGAGCACTTTTTATACATTACAGGTCATCCTTGATTTATGAAGTACTTGAGTTATGACGAACCATTCTTCTTTTTTTTTTCTTCCATAGTAATATGTACTACATACATCATTGCAGCGTATAATTTGCTGATGTTATTCTCAGATGTTCGTTCACAGATGTTCACTTCATGATTGACTGTTCAAAACACTGCTGTATAGATTTAGTTTCTAAAGTAAATCAGGGGCTTCAATTGCCCAAACGCTGATCACTTTGCTGATGTTGACAGACAGATTTAGGAAGCAGTGAGATGTTACTACAAAATATATGAAGGGGAAAAAAAAAAATACTACAGATAACTCTCACTAATTTTCTGACTTGAAATGCCATCCTCATTTCCAAAGATAATCCAGATGATTCAGGACCTTGCGTAAATGACAAAATGCTGACGTCATCCAACTCTTCATGGTTGGAGTAAATTTTTATGACTTGTGTATATTATGTATGTATTAAAATATATCTGTAAGTGTATATATAATGTTTCCAACACCCAGAGACAAATAAAGATCAGATTTATAAACGTACTGATAGAAAATAAAAGGCAATAATAATGAAAAAAAATTAAGTGACGTATGTCAGAACTGACTTATCAGATAGTCATCAGAACAGAACCTGTATTAGTACTCAGAGAATACTAATATTTCATTTAATCCTCTTGATGACTTTGTGAAATAGCTTGCAGTAACAGAGTAGGAGTACATTGTCGTCATCATCATCATCATCGTCGTCGTCATAGTAGAAGTAGAAGTGGTATTTCTAATTTTCCAGTTTAGAAAATCTGGCCTCACATAAAAGTTAAGAGATGTGTCTATGTTGTGCAGGCTAGGATTTGAATGAAGTTTCCATATTTTAAATAAGCTATTCAGCTTTGCATGCATTAAATAAAAGAGGCTGGACCTGAAATTACATGCCCTTAATATGCAGTGCTTAAGGCATTTGACTGCTAACTAAAAGGCTAGAGGTTCAAACCCACCAGCCACTCCTCGGAAGGAAGGTTGGGCAATCTATTTCCATAATACTTCCTCGGAAACCCAAGGAGGGGTTGCTATGAGTAGGATCCGACTTGACAGCAGTGCATATTGTGGACAGGTTTCAGTAGAGCTTTCAGACTAAAACAGACTCAGAAAAAGGAAGGGGCCATTGACTTCTCAGAGAATTGGCCAATGAAAACTTTATGAATAACAGTGAAACACTGTCTGATATATTACTGGAAACATTTATGAAACCCACAGGGTGTCCTTGGCTCAAACCTTTAAGACAGCAGACTGCCTCATCTTTTTTCCCATTGAGTGGCTGGTGGGTTCAAATGGGCGACCTTTCAGTTAGCAGCCAATAGCTAAACCTCCGTACCAACAGAGCTCCTTTGAAACATGAAAGAACTGATAAAAAGCCATTGATTCCTAAGGAACTGAGTAATCCCAGGATTCAAAGTAATTCAGGCATACATTACATTCTAGGTAAAAATCATACAGCAAAACAATAAGTATAAACTATTACCAATTAAAATTATTCTAATCTCATTCTAAGGTTTTAAAGTTCATGGACACACTGTATATATAGTGTTTCTAGAAGAGCGACTCATAGGATATCCCAGTTTCACACAGAGTTATGGCCCAACCAGTCCCACAATGTCCCTCCCATACACTGAAATCTATTGAAACAAGGGTGAATCCAG